TATTAATCAATAATAATAAAATTACAACTCATTTATACAACGGTATATCGTCAAGACACAATTGCTTACAGTTAAAATATTAATGGCACTTGGTTAGTTTTTCGCATATTCACTCTACTTATAACATTTTTGTTGTACGTTTTCGTTTAAAACTTTTTAAGGTATTTTTGAAAGTCCTTTAAACAATGTCAAAACGCGGTGTTCTTTTTTAAATTTTTTCATTACAGGTATAATATATATATTATTTTCAATATTTTAATTCTGGCTGTAAATACAGAGTGAGTTTACATTAAATTATTTATCTTTTGTTTTCCTTTTACAAATAGAAATATTTATTTTACAATAATTGTTTAGTTAAATTACTAATATTTTATAAACACACACAAGTTGATAACATATTATAAAGATAGTTGCTAATATGGCCCGTCCTGGGCCTAGTATGGTATTTTAGACGAGAACTTAAGCTTCTCACATCGTTATAAGGCACCTAAAAAGTAACAGGTATGTTTTAACAAGTTAAAATTACTGTGACTTTTTATACTATATATATTTTAAAAGACCTTAAAAAGTATTAAACAAGTTATAAATCCGTGTATAAATATTGGAGATGCCATAATAAGATGGTTACTTGCAAGTTAAAATTTTTAGTTAAAAATACCAATAAGAAAATGGTTTAAACTTGCAAGTTCTCGCTTACTTTTACCATCCGAGAAAGTAACGAGACTTTAGAAATACTTAAAAATATAATTTACAACTTTAAAACAAATGGCACTTTTGAAAGTGAGCAATATTTAGTAGAATTAAATAGACAGAAAAAAATAATAACTAGATAGTGATGCCGATTCTAGCACTCATTCCTAAAACTAATTATAAAAGTACAAGTATATTTTTCATATTCATAAGCGGACTAAATTGGTACTTTTACAATTAAAAATTTAAAAAAAAGACTGACTTGACACAAGAAGTGCCTAAATCCATATTATTATTTTTTTAAATATATAAGTGCGCATATAACCTCCAATCTCACCGGGTGGAAAGTCACGATGAGGTCGACAATGCCACCTAAATAATGCCTATTCACTGTCGTCTTAAAAGGTCCAAGTTATAACAAAAAGTCTGCAGGCAGGGAATTCTGCTCCATAACCGTTCGCCATATAAATGAATATATACGCACATCAATAATCTCTTCTAATTAAAAAAAAACTTATTTAAGGATGTCTTCCTGTCGCTGCTTGATAAAATACCTCTTAACTTTGTTTCTTGCAGAATATTACACAGGATAATGGCTAGTGTACACCTATTAAGAGACGAGGTAATTAACTAAGTTTCAACTTAATCTATGCGTGTAAACAATCGATTAACAGTTATTTAGTAATCAACGGTTTAGTGGTTAGAAAGATTGAACCAAACCTGTTTTTTGACAAAGTAACAGACCCTACTTAAAATTAAGTAGTTGTAAACTAACCATAAATGAAAGCATGGAAAAGTGATAATTTGAATCTTCAAAACTAATTTAGTTCTAGAAATGTGTAAAGCAGAATCGTTATCACTAAAATAATTATTATAATTTAAAATAAGTCACGTTCTTAAAATATAGTATCCTAATTTCATATAAATATATAGGTTGTTAATAATGACATACGCTGAAAAACTTTTAACAGTAGATACCAATATACAGGGTGACAGGTTGTACGAAATAAATATTTAAAGAGGCAAACGAGTGGCTGGTTCTAATCCGAATATGAAAAAAGAATCGCCCCTAAACATAAGAAAAAAAATATCATGCCATTTTACGAATACTAATTATTTGGGCTACTCTATGAAAGAGAACAGCTGAGTGGTAGGAAATTGAAGTCCGCGTGTCAAGCGCTATTAAAAATAATTAAATATTCCGTTCATTCAAATCGTGCGCAGAGGCAGAGGAGATTTTGGAGAGTATTAGAAAATGTTTGAGGCAGTATTTTCCCTAAAGAAAAATATTTAAAAAGAAGGTAGTGTTTTTTTTCACATATTCGGTATGGGTATCAGGTATCTAAATATTTATCTCGTTCAACCTGTCACCTGTATAAGATCATTGGTTGATACTAAAGAACTTGTCCATAAATGCTTATTTCCAAGGACTTTCTTCTAGTCCTTTCAGCGCTGGTGTTATGTGCTTTGCTAGACAACGAGCTAAATTTTGTCATAGATAAGATAGAGTATTACGATACTGTACTTTGTAGAATACTTTATTTCTCCACCATTATTTGACAAACTTGAGGAGGAAATCCCGGTTCCATTTGCAGGACTAGACATGTGATCCGCGCCTCCAATTAATTTGATTTGACTGGCGATATTGTCGTTTATGCGATTTACCAAACATTTTGTGAAATATCCATATCCACTGACTAAAACACATGGAAAAATTTCTTCGACCCGGTCACAACCATGTTGCACTGTAGCATTGCTCTTACCAACTGAGCCACAGGTCAAGTTACCGAGCTGTTGAAGTTCTCCTGTGTGTTTTTACCACCGGGTCGAAGAAATTTTTCTGACTTCGACATTTATATTAATAACCGTAACAAAACTTGTCGAGTAATTTCACAAAAGTCTCAATAACACATTTGATCAAAAAGCGACATCTACATTGACGCATCTGTAATACCGGCTGCGGTGAGGTTTTTAAAATATCTCTCACTAGATATCACTAGCGGCGACGAATGATTAGTGTTTTTTAAACATCTGAAATAATATGCTACGCCGATTTTACGCCTACCGCACCGCCGAAGTCGAATTTATGATCGTTACACATGTCTAGGTAGGACCAATTTCGGAGGCGACCTGTTCTGGGTGATTTTGGTTGCTGTGGTACTCCATAGTTTAAAGAACTTATGAGACCAGTAGGTCCATTCAGAACTTGACGATAATTCAGTTGTCAACCAATTTCTATTCATTTTTAATCACAACACCCGAATCGAACGTCAAACTGTGGTAATCGAAACCGAACCGAAATGGCGTCACATTATTCAGAACACAGTTATCGAATGAAAAATACCGAATGTTCTATTGTTTACAAAGCAAGAATGTAATTAGGAAATCTCTTATTATTATTAATACAAAGATCGAACACTCAGAAAAAATTCCTTCGATCCGGTCGGATTCGAACCGACGTCTTCTTGCATACCGTGCCAGACGCTATACCAACTAAGCTACGGAACGAACCAACGGACCTCACGAATTTTTCTATGTGCTTGGGTCGTGTCTTTGTACTTGGTCTTTCAACGACTTTTTAGTCGTAGCGCTATCTATGAGAAATCTATTACAGATTACCGACCGGATCGAAGGAATTTTTTCTGAGTGTTCGATCTTTGTATTAATAATTATAACAAATTAGTGGAGTAATTTCACAAAAAATAATTGAATACCAATTCAATAAAAGTTTAATTAAATCTCTTATTATTTTAAAGAAAGTCGGGATTTTGTTCAAGTTTATTAATTTATTTTAATGCAAGACTAATGCATTCCTATATTTTAGGCCTTTAAAGTCTTAAAAATCTATGAAAAGGATTTTCATTTTTCTTATAATCTATTTCACCGACTGACTCCGTAAACGCTGTTGGATAACAATATCGTATCCGAACCCGAAACTAACATTTAACTCAAATGTTCTGAATAGTTCGGAAAGCGCCCTTCGATTCGAGAATGATATCCAATCGGTTAAAATATCGAAAAATTCTGAATCGGGGCCCAGGTGTGCTTATCTAGCATATTGCAATATTGCTTGAATCCACCTCTGGAATTAACGTTTTCCTTAACACCCTATATATGTATACCAAGTTACAATGTCCCTATTCACTATGACGTCACGGTTATACCGCAATAGCGTTACAAGATGACGCAAGGCATGGCGCAGCAGAGGGGCAGACAGAGAGGCACGGCGGTTTTCTTCTCGGAGTGCTTCTCTTTGCTTTTAGAACCGGACTCGTACTCGTACATTCCTCGCCCTGATGCGTACGCGCCGCCGCCTTGCATTGCCTGAGGAACAAATACTGTTTTTTATTGAGGGACTACAACGGGTCAATATACAGCCGAGGCATAGCGAGTGTCTATTACTCCGAGGGTTTATATTGACTTTAAGTCTAGAGCTGAAAACTCTACACTTCGATTGCGAGAAAAAAAATCGTTTTCGCTCTACAACAAAATGACAAAGAATCAGAGTTAAAATTCTGAGGATTTCGCGGTTGTTTTTCCAACCAGACAACAAACGCGCGGGAAAATAATATGGCGCCACCGTCTATGCGGAAAAAGCACGGAACTAATACCGTACTACTGGCTGATTGAGTTTGTTAATTTTTAAGTACTTTTAACTCTGGACAGGACGCACTTTACTTCTGCTACGTAAGACTTGACAATATATGTCGTACTTTTAGAGCATGCGATGTGAAAAGGTTTTTTAAGTACCTATACAGTGTCTAACACTAATTACAAAGGTTTTTACCGCGATATGACGTTTTATTAACGTCTTTATATTCCAAACGCGGTACAGCGTCAAGAGCACGTCAATGTTGACACTTTTTGACATTTTTTTTATTACAATCACTGACTTACAATTATATGGACGTCGGGTCCGCGCTAAAAAGTGTCCGAACTTATAGGGCGTTAAAATCGTATACAGAGCGTCATTCACGCTTTAGTCTTCGTTTGTTCGACTGACAGCGAAGCAAGCAAAATTAGATAGTACTGCGATGACATTACAATTTAAATTCAAAGTTTTAGCTTTTTCATATTCCTTTACATGTCACTACGTTTAAATAGGTTGACTTGGGACATTTTTTTCGTGGTTTTTGTATTAGACCCGTCGTCCATTTATTTGTAAGTCAATGATTACAATGCCAATTTTATAATACCCAGTGACGGGATGAACAAGTCGAAAAAGGCTGCTAACAGATTGACTGTATGTTTGCAGTTAACGCGTGAAGTCGTTATCAACTTCATGGAGTCGAGGTCTCGAATAACGACATCATGCAGTCAAGGTCTCGGCTGCATGAAATTGATTACGAGTTCACAGATTAACTGCATGCCTAACAGTTGCAGTGACACTCAGAGCTTTAAATCGCAAAGATCTTAGGGGCACTGCCACTGCGCCCGTCACCCTGAAATTTAAGTAGACGGGTCCCATGTGTCGCGAATCGCGAATGAACTCTAATCGATTAACACAATCGAGTAAATGTCAGTTATACAAACGATTATGACAGTAGTTTAAAAAAAATGAAAAACGAACGGACGGGGTGGAGCTCGCAGAGTCTGACACGGGGAGTTGGCGTAAAGGCAACGTCGGTGAGTGAACTATTTATTATGCATGAGTTACCAGAATTATCAGTAATTAAGAGGAGAGATAAACCGTGCCTAAATCAGGTGTCGTTTAGTTCAACAGTAACTGACGCTATCGGTTTGTCTGCGGACAGAGTGATGAAAATTCAGTTGTGTTTAAATCTTGCTGGCTGGGGGTGGCTGTAAGGGGAGGTTGGAGGCCACTCGTGGGGTGTTTACCCCGATTCAGTTTTGTAGAATAGGAAATCAGTTAGTTGGGTGCCATTACGCAACTAGGTGTAAAATAATATAAATCAGTTTAGTAATGCATGTGTGCTTCATAACCAGGTATGCTACAGGTTGTGTTTTACCAGTTTAATCGCCATCCTTTAAGTTATTATAGAAATGGCGACACCATGTGCCTGTAATTTTACCAGGACCCTTACGCTTCACGACCGGGATTTGGTAATGCTCACATTACCGTTTGGTGGCAGAAATTGGTAAAGTGGCAGTACTTCATTGGACGAACTCTTTCACAAGCTCTACTGCTACTGCTGTATCGGCGGGTAACCGCTGGCCGCACGTCGTGTCTGATGTCTGATATGATGAAGATGAAGTGCAGTATCTCATATATGTTCAATTCGTGTAATAATCCCTGACAAGCGTAGTATTTTACTTTATTTTTTTTTTAGTATCTACTTGTTTTTAGTTAATATTGAAGTTCCAACTGAAAACCAGCGCTACAGCAGGCGAGCTGTAACATACGCTGAGTTGGATCAGTTTCAGCTTATAGATATTATATGTAATCATTGATTTGTTTTATCTGTTTTGTCTGAATGAACGTTTCTTTCTCTTTATTTGCTATTTTTCTCCACACCACCGAATGGTACAGCACGCTATTGTTAGAGATATTATCTTTATTACAATACAATACAGTATATTTTTGGAATATACAGAGACGTACACACAGGTCAGTTGTTGGCGCGGTACTATTTTAGTGTAAACGAGAGTTGATGTTTACAAGTGATGTATCACTGATGAGTTACCAGAAATGTATGGCCCTTATTTTGTCTCTATTTCTGGTTATTTACTCGATGCATGCATACCATGACGCCTGTCTCATATCACGGATACTCAAGAGGATTGTTAATCGCGATAAAACACAGCGTCGGGTATTTAGTACCTATGGTACACTAGATGTCGCGACGAGTACCAAATAGCTATTTTCGAAACTAATTTGTTTTACATTGACAAGTTTAGTATCTACTTGTTTTTAGTTAATATTGAAGTTCCAACTGAAAACCAGCGCTACAGCAGGCGAACAGTAACATACGCTGAGTTGGATCATTTTCTGCTTATAGATATTATCCGTAATCGTTGATTTGTTTTATCTGTGTTGTCTGAATGAACGTTTCTTTCTTTCGTACTAAAAGTGTAAAAGCGGGGTGTGGGGTGTCTGTTGGGTGTAAGAACTCACGCTGGCCTGGTACCCGGCGGCCTCCTTCTTCTGGAAGGGAACGTGCCCGGGCGGGTAGTAGACGGCGGGGCCGGCGGCGTTGCGCGTGGGCGTGGCCGGCGCCGGCTTCGGGGCGCTGTTGGCCGCGCGCTCGTGCGACACCTCCACCCTGTGCGAGCGCTGCGACAGCCCGTCCGGCTGCGTCGGGAACCGCTGCAGGGGCCAAGAGGTCGGTCTCAGGGTTTGTTGGCAACACTGGTCCTTCGCGCTAGCGTTGGAAAGGACTTTCCGAGGTAAACGATTCTCTTATGGCGAACTGTATACGTTTTTGCAATAAGATGGATTATCATTTCCTGGGTTTAAAACTTATACATTAAAAGTGTTTTAATTGAAAAGTCATATTACAAAATTGAAGTGTATGTTTTAGACTTAGAATAATAACGCATAGAATGGTAGTTTCATATCAAACGAACGGTCACAAGTCAGGCAAAAATCAAATTCATGTAGGCTAGTTTTCCGAAAAAAATAGTTTTAGTTTACCGAAAATTAACCTACTACTAAAAAGTAGTAGGTTAATTTTCGGTTTTAGTGAATATTTATATAAAAATACAAGTTGAAACGCGTTACTTCCTTGTGGAATGCGATGTTAGTATCTATTTTATGTTTGTCTGACGTATTTTTACACTCATTTACCGCACATTTCGTCATTTTTAGCTAAAATTCTTGATCTGTTCGCGGTGCAAGTTGACCTTGAGCACTGAAGGCCCGCCCGCTCGTGTAGGCCCATTGGGCGCGCTTCAATTTGCCTCACTTAGCGTGTGCGGACTAGGTTTCTATGCGTTATTATTCTAAGGTTTTAGATAAAGAAGTATGGAAAGACAACAAGAGTCGAGATTCCACACAATTGTGATTCAAAGTGTATTCCATAGCATTTGAGTTTATGTGAAAAGAGCAATCCCTAGAGTTGCTTGCTCGTTCTTCTCGGGGAGATCAGCGTAGTGAACGAGCAGTCGCTTAAGAAATGACGTTTTCAAGTGTACAAATAGGTATATTGGGCAAACGAAGCGAAGTATTTGTACCCGCGTCAAAGAACATATAGCTGATGTCTAACACTGCCGCGTAAACAAGTCTGCAGTCTGCGAGCATGTCATGGATAAACCTACACATTCAATGAAGTTTGACAAACCCCAGGTCCATGAAGAAAAAGTCCGTTATCTACCCAGGATGCTGCAAGAGGTCATTGAAATTAAAAACATCCTAATTTCAACAGGGAAGATGGTTTCTCCGTACCACCATTTATTGATCCAGTATTTCCAGTGATGACGAACCCCAAACAGACATAATACTGCAGTACTAATTAATATGTTATTCTAATTTTCATTATTAATTAATATTAAATTTAACTTAATAAAAATTCATATTGTTAAAATAAAATAATTTGTAAAACATAATGTAGCGTAAATTGGAATGTTTCTTTGTAAAATTAAAAATGAGTTATGAAAGTTAGTGAAAAAATAGGGTGGTTTGCATTAATATTAGACATAACTGGTTGATGACTGTACCACCTCAGTCAACCGTGACCATGGGACCTGTAAAGGGCCCGAAACGTTTGTTTGAAAAAACAAATATACGCGATTTAAATCGGGAAAAATAGTTTCATTTCCTATATGATTGATTGATTTAGTCGTGTTACACGTTTTTAATGATTCAACATAAGCGACTGCATCAATGCATACGTCGCCGCTTGGCTGCACTAACCCTAACAATTATGGACAGATAAAAAAATAAAAGTAAGTAGGTAATCACAAAATATAAAAAGTTTTAAGTTTCCTTCAACTTACAGCTTCAGGGAAGTCGGCCAACAAATCATCCAACTTCTTAGGCGGCTGCTGCGTGGATGGTGAGGGTGTGGTAGGGCGTGGGAATGGGGCGCCCGCGGGAGGGTAGCGCTCTGTCGTGTTTTGGGACGAGTAAGTTGTTTCTGAGTACTTGTACGAGGTCGGACCCTGGAACAGGTTCTTAGGTTACGTACTATACAATCTCACTTAGGTTTACACGTGGTATACATTTTAAAAGAAAAAATGCTTAATTCATACATACATGCATACATCGAGTATATAACCAGAAATAGAGATGAAATGTCATTTATCGAGTTCTTAGATTTTCGCGATTGTTACACATAGGAAATGAAACTATTTTTCCGGATTTAAATCTCGTATATTTGTTTTTTTTTAAGCCAACCGACGTTTCGGGCCCTTTACAGGTCCCATGGTCACGGTTGACGGTACCACCTCAGTCATGGGACCTGTAAAGGGCCCGAAACATCGGTTTGTTTGAAAAAACAAATATACGCGATTTAAATCCGGAAAAATAGTTTCATTTCCTAAATGTCATTTAATTTGTTTGAAAACTATTCTGCCATATCATTACTGGACAACTGCGCTCCGATTGGCCAGCCCGAATTCGAAACAATTGACGGGTGTCGTCAACTGTTTCACTTCAAATCGACCAGTTAACTTGAGCTTTGCTATAATGGATCACAATTGCATAATTACATATTGAATATTTAATTACCGATGAAATACGATTCCGTTTGTTTTGTATTTAGATGTTTTGCTGTTTTTCTCCACACCACCGAATGGTATTTTTCAATTGCTATTGTTAGAGATATTATCTTTATTACAATACAATACAGTATATTTTTGGAATATACGGAGACGTACACACAGGTCAGTTGTCGGCGCGGTAGTATTTCAGTGTAAACGAGAGTTGATGTTTATAAGTGATGTATCACTGATGAGTTACCAGAAATGTATGGCCCTTATTTTGTCTCTATTTCTGGTGATATACTCGATGCATGCATACCATGACGCCTGTCTCATATCACGGACCAATACTCAAGAGGATTGTTAGCGTCGGGTATTTAGTACCTATAGGTACACTAGATGTCGCGACGAGTGCCAAATAGCTATTTTTGTAACCAATTTGTTTTACATTGACAAGTTGCAATTTATCAAAGCTATTGTAATTTCTATTGATAACAAACAAATCAACTAGATGGCGTTTATTACACCGATTTTTTTAGGAATAATGCCGGCTATTCCTTTATTTTTTTCAGGATTAACGCCATCTACCGATATTTGATAGCGTTAATTCATGAATTGGTTTGTAACATACAGTTATCTACTGCACGCACTGTTTTTTTATAATATCAAGTGTCGGGACGAAGAAGTCGTGCGCCTGATGGTAAGCTACACGCCTGTCCATAACAGTTGCAGTGCCACAGCTTTAAATCTCAAAGATCTGAGGGGCACTGCCACTGCGCCCGTTACCCTGAGACATAAGTTGACACATCCCATGTGCCTGTAATTTCACCAGCTTCCTTACCCTTTACAAAAAAAACCGGAGCACAGTAATGCTGACATTACTGCTTGGTGGCAATACTTCTTTGGACGAACTCTTTCACAAGGATCTCTACTGCACTTAAAATAATATTACAAGGAAAAAACTGACTTCTTACATTCCACATTTATTTACATAATATAAACTTCTTCCAGGTTATTGGTCAGCGCCAACTAGATATAAGACGGAATTTTGACATTTTTCAGAGTTACAATCTGTAGTATGGAGAATAGCAACTTTCGCCAGTTCGGCGTGTTAACGCATACACGTCACTTTTTTTTTTATTAATTTATTTCTGGCCATGGAAACAAAGTCCTTCAGCCGAAAACATAAAAATAAGTATTTCTGTAAATATGGCCGCCACAAAGAGGATAGGCAATTTGAGGCGGCGTGCTTGGATTGACTCGGGATTCCTTAGAACGGGCCGATACGGGTATTTTAGTTCTATACTATATTATATTTATTTATATTACGGGTATTTTAGTTCTATTCTATACTACACAATAGCACTATCCTATTCCACTTTAAACTAGATTTCACAAAATAATTGAAAGTCAAAATAAAAACGACACTTTTCCCTCCAAAAGGTCCAGAGCGAATCCATACACGTCACTCGTAGCGTAGGGTTGCCACAGTATCTTTTTTGTTATTACTATAGGTAGCAAAACATAATTTGAAAAAATTAAGGTTCTCATCATACCATTCCCGTGCTATATACTTAACTTGCCTGCTCGATGGAAAAATCGTATAAGTAATCTTACGTGTGGGCCGTGTCCATTGAGCGAGTCATTGACGGGGATCAGCTTCGTCTCGTTGGCAGGTTTCGGGTAGATAATGCGTTCGTTCGTGTGATCTGTTAATACAATTTGTTGCTTGATAATAACGTTCAGAATTGCATAACGTCAATAATAATCTCAGTATAGAGCGCTAAAAAAACCGACCTCAGAAGTTCCTGGACTTTATTTATTTATTTATTTATTCATGGAAAACCAACAGCTATAAACATTTAGTAAGAAACAGCAATAAAAACATAAAGCCAATTACCGCAGGCTTATTACCGATCTTTAGCGACCAGTCGTTTTAGCAATAGTTGCACGATTATCGCTGTCAAAACATAAATTCGTATTACGGAACGAACAATTGCGACCAGTCGACTACAGCGCCTCCCGCGAGCAACTAATAAACTAAAACTGCATGAAAATGCTTTGACAGAAAGCGACCGGTTGCTTTTTCGTATTACCGAACCGTAATACCAACTTAGCAATCGCGACTGGTAGCAATCGCGTTGCTATTGTACAATTAGCAACCAGTTGCTAAAGTTCGGTAATAAGCCTGCAGGTTTTCACTTATAGGTACAAGTTAGTTAAACACGAGCATTGGACTAATAAAACTAATAAATACAGCAATCCCATACGTGCGTCAACAACCACATGTTATTCAATTAAATTAATCATTATATCTGTTATTTTACGTTTTAGTGCATCAATGTTACAATTAAATATATCTACATCCAGGTCATAGTCGCTTAGCACACCATTTAAACTCCTACTAGCTCTACATATAAAACTATTCTGTCTATAGTTTGTCCTCGCTATGGGAACTACAAGAGGGTGGTAGTGTCTCATGGAACGTGTTGGAACATTAAATGAGAGTTCACCCAATAAGTCAATGCAATCAACCTTGCCGTTTATAATATTCAAAAGATACATTATATCACGGATTTTTCTGCGATCAAATAACGGTAATAGACGGAATGGTAACGGTAATAGACTTACATCTATTTGCCAAGTTTTATAGAAATCGGTACCGGAAAGTGTGCGAAACCTGATTCATGAATATTTACTTCAGGAATATTTACTTCAAATCTAAATGGGACAAATACAGAAGTACCCTCTTTCCAACAAAAAAAAAAGAGTCATGAAAATCGATTCAGAAATGTCGGAGTCACCGCATAACTTACATACAAAAAAAATACAATCGAATTGAGAACCTTCTTTTTTTGAAGTCGGATAAAAATAAGTATAGTTTCACTGTACCCGGCCAAACACTATGAAATCAAAAATATCTTTAAAGTAAATGAAATTTGAAATTTTCACATTGTTTGAATATTAATATCAGCTAATTCTTAAGTAAGATACTTTTGGGGTGGCTCTTTGTAAATATACATTTATCATAAAACAACATTTATTTCAAATACTAGAATTAGATCGAGACAACCAGCAAGAACTAAGCGGGTTACTACCATTGATAAGATTTTGCGTAACTACACATAGTCTTAAATTTCGTAAATAACAAATTTTGAAAAGAGTTGGGTAAAAAATCCGTGCGGTTTTTGCCTCCCTTAAAATGTTATATTGTCTATAGTCTTTTTAAAAATCATATTTTAGCGCGTATTTTAGAATAGGCGGGAAATTTTTAAGTTAAAAATATGTATTGTGGAGCCGTCTTCGCTCCTTTTTTTTAAATAATATATAGATTATAAAATAATATAAGTAGTATTTCAATAATAATTTCTAAATTATTAAAAATGCCTCCCTCTCATTTTGCTGTGCCCGACAGGGTCCATAAATGATCTTTGTATTTTTATAACATCTTGTACACATTATGGAAAAGCAATAAAGATTGAAATTGAAATTGAAATATCAAGTGACAGGATCAACAAGTCGTGCACCTGGTGGTAAGCGACACGTCTGTTTATAACAGTTGCAATTGCAATCAGGGCTTTAAGCCACAAAGATCTTGGGGCACTGCCACTGCGCCCGTCACCCTGAGACATAAGTTGACAAGTCCCAAGTGCCGGTAATTTCACCAGCACCCTTTCAAACCGGAACGCAGTAATGCTCACATTACTGGTTGGCGGCAGAAATAGGTAAGGTGGTACTTCACTGGATGAACTCCATCACAAGGAGCTCTAGTGCCCCTTGAAGTCTTTAGCAGGTCCAGGAGGATCCAGAGATTCCTGGTGAACGGACACCAGCCCCTCATACCATACCATACCGCACGAACTTTTTGGCTAACCCAATATTAGAAAAGTTGGTGAAGAGGTACGAATAAAGCTGGTGGTAATGGATAAGTACCAGAATCTGTAGTGGTGACGTGTCTGTACTCGCGGATGCGCGAGTTGCAGTGGGAACAGTACTGGCAGCCTCCTGGGGAAGGAGATGGTGGTATCTTCGATGTATTTGTTCTGAAAACAAACAAACAAAATTGAATTTTCCGTTTTGTTATTTTTTCGCACTTTTAGGGCGTTTAATGAGCGAAACCGAAACATCTGAACATGTTTTTATTACTGATACAAAGATCTAACACAAACAAACAAGATACAACACAAAGAATAAAGACAACAAAACACAAAGAAGAATTATAGAAATACTTCCATAGATTTTTCATAGATGGAGCTACGGCTAAAAAGTTGTTGAAAACCAAATACAAAGATCCGACAACAAGCACATGGAAAAATTCGTGAGGTCCACTGGTTCGTTCTGTGGCTTAGTTGGCATAGCCTCGGCGCGGGTTGCTAGAAGAGTGGAATAATTGCACAAAAAATAATTGAATATCAATTCAATACAAATTTAAACAAAGATTAATTCCTTCGATTTGACTGGACCTAAACCAGCGTTTGTTGCTACACTAGGGTCGCCACCTTTACCAACTTAGCATCAGATCGAGTGACAGATTTTTTGCCGTTTGCCGCATTACTGCCATTCCGCTAACACTTATGGGTCTCGGTCTCCATAGACTCAACTGCCATTGGAACTAGATTTATTACAATATTTCAATGGAGTCTCAATGGAATTACCTACGGTTTCAAGAAAGTTAACAGAATTGGATTCCAGATCATTCTTTTCTTCTTCATCATCAACCCATTGACAGACGAGGGTTGAGGCCATAGTCCCCCACGCTGGCCCAGTGCAAGTTGAGAACTTCACACGTTTTCCGAGAGTGGTCAACCTTCTTGAACTTGCAGGTTTCATCACGAAAAGCTCATGATACATTTCAAATTAAATTTTGCATATAAATTCCGAAAACGCGCGACCCTCCTGTTGAGAGGCAGTAGGTCGAATCGTTAGGCTACCACGTAACGCGAAAACGCAATAAAGACGAGCTTTGAATGCGCTTCTCGCGCACGTTTGTACTTCCGACAACAGCAACAGTTGCAATGCCACTCAGAGCATTAAGCCCCAAACATCTGAGACATAAGTTGACAAGACTCGTGTGCTACAGGCACTTTGGAAAAAATATATAATAAAATTGAGGTTATACACTAATTACTACACGGTGTAATCAGTGTATATCCTTCGAAACCGGAACGTAGATACAATGACGAACATATAAGGTGAGTTTAATTATGACTGCCCTCCTTGGGAGTATGATACGCGTTTGTTTAAAAAAAATCTATTCACTCTAAACTCTAGCTAACCCTAAGTTTTAGCTCTAGCTTTAACTGTAGCCTAATTATCCCAGATCAATTAGGTGTTATGTAGGTCATTACTCTAGAAGTCGATATGTCCATGCGAGCTTGTGACAATGCGACCTCTTTCATTGTCCTCTCACCTTTTTATGACATTTTTCTCTGGTTCCTGGCCATTTGAAATTTTGAATCGTTCTCCAGTTCTTTTTCTTTGTCATTCTTACTTTGCTTCATTCCATCGTCACTTCCATAGAGGGTATAACCACTACCTTGTCACTTCCATCGAAATTCTCGAAGAGAAAAGCTTTGTCCTTAATTTTCATCTCAGGCCCTGATCCATAACAGCAGTTTGTCGAAGAGGTTCTTCCAAAATAAATACCTTGCTGCTGCCTTAACGTTGGCGGTTTTGACCAATATTAACTGACTGCATTCCTCTAAACTGACTCTGGCCCAAGCCTACAGGACGCCATTAAGTAAATAATGATAAAATTTAAACCTAACTGCTTATAAAGCCGTCGTGAGGCGTTCGAGATGTGGTGCTACCGTAAAATGCTACACATTAGCTGGACCCAGAAAGTTCCCAATGTGACAGTTCTTCAGCGCGTTGGGAGGGACTGAGAATTCTTGCAGACCGTCAAGAACAGGAAAGTTGCGTATCTTGGACGCGTTCTGCGGCATGAAAAGTAGCGACTTCTTCAACTGATAATGATGGACAAGATCGAGGGTAAACGACGGAAGAAGGAAGAAGTCGTGGTTGCGCAACATGCTCAACATGGGAATGGACGAATATTGCCAGCGTAGAACTTCTGTTTCGCTTGGCTCAGGACAGTGAAGAGTTCTGCAAGCTGACGGCTAGCCTCCAGTAGTGGAGAGGCACTACTTGATGCTTATAAAGTAGCAATAGACGTTTTTACGAGTACAGGCCCTTTTGGGGTACGTGTCTACTTTATATTCATCCATAAGCATATCCGTATGTAATTTAAGTTAGGGAGTGTTTTATAGAATTGTGTCTGTGTTTTTATACCACTGTTTTTGTTACAGGCTTTCGTTCTCCTTTCCTTATCTTTTCTTTGTTTGCACATCTATAATAATATCTTGCAATAAAAATTATGTGGATAACCTTCTCTTTAATTTGCCAAGGCTAGATTACAAGCTAAAGGATCCAGAAGCCAACTTACGTAGAGCGCAGATTCTCGTGTGAGCTGACATAAGTATGCTCGTGGTCAGCCAGCGGCGGCAGCGGCACCGTCGTCGGGTCTTGGTCGGCAGGGACCTCGTACGTGTACGTCTTCACTGTCGTCGTCACTTTATTCATTGGCGTGCTCGAGCGAGAGAGCTGGAAATAGACGAAATGTTACAAAGCCCCCGAAGATCCCAACAACTGTTGTACTTGTTGTTGTTGGAGAGTTATAATAATAAAATACAACAATTAATCATTTTTGAGGTGATAACGTAATAGAGTATGAGACGGATGGTTTTGCTGCCATCGTCCGGAAAAAATCGGCATCCTTGATGCGCAGAGTGCGGGACAGCCCCGACAGCATCCTACAAACTGTAGCTGGTAGAATTACCTCTCCCATGTAGCAATGCTTCATGTGGAAGGTTTGAAATCATCAAATCACCTAATCAAAATGATATATAACTACTGACAGCAATTGAATTAATCTTTTTTATAACAACTTTTTTTTATTTTACAAGTAAATTTTGGAACAAACTATCAAAAACAAGGACAAATTGAAACAATTATTAATAAAAAAGAAGTTATTATAATATAAATGAATACATCTGTGATAAAAATTTGGTGGAATTACATAATGAAAGACATTAATAGAGTATTTAGACTAATTTAGAATGTTAAAATATTTTCATTATGTTATGAAATCTCCGTTGACATTTAGTTACTGGTCTAAAAATTATATTACCTATTTTTATTTTGTAAGAAATGGCCTCTCCACCCTAAAATGTGTGAAATGTTAAAATTTTATAAATATTATTATTATTTTGAATGAATTTAATGCATGTATTGGAATTGTTTGATATTATGTATTTTGTTGATGCAAATATATTAATCTGTTACAAAAAATCCCACTGCAATTTGCTATGCCCTTGGCGTCACAAGATACTTTACTATAGTCTACCAACTTAAATTGTATTTAATAAATTATTTGACTTTGACGAAATTTTCAGGGGCCATTTTCGCAAAACTAGATCATATAGGTTGACACAGTTATTGCTTATGAAAATGTTACTAACAATTTATATGGGTCTATGCCTGAAATATGGACGTAAATATCTTAAAATACTCATGAAAAAAATCTTTCTACAAAATATCAACGTTTTTTGGATACGTTTTCTTTGTCAAGAATAGCACGAAGTCCTGCACTACCAACGTGCAATCCAGTGGCGGATTTGCAGTCTTGACCGCCCTAGGCCCCGGGCCATGAAATCAGTACCAGTCGCCCCTTTTTCAGCAATCATCGTATACTGGTGGACTACATAATGAATTTACTGATTTTTATCGAAATAGATTCAGAAATTTACCATTTAATATTTTTCTAGAACATTGATTTAATATATCGCACTGCTATTACATTAGTGTTGTAACTCAAAATTCACGTATTTTTTATTCAAGATTATACCATGAATGTAAAATTTGAGTATCTACACGTCAATAAAACCGTAGTTAGAATATTGTAAGAAACAATGAAAATATATCTACTTAACTCCAAATGAGACAAACCTTATGTGAGCTAGTTCTGGACAAAACTGTCATTACTCAGTTCCCTTTTATTTTTAAATATATTTGGCAAGTACAAAATTGTATACATTTCAGTAATAAACTTTGACTTATATATCATTTTTTATAATCTTTCACGAGAAGTGAGTAATTTGTTTTTCATTGATTCTGAAAAATACACTTTTTGTGTTAAATACACTATATTGTATTACCAATGCAATATCTCTGTTAGTCTACGGGGCGCACGCCAGTAAAGCGCACAGCCGGCAAGATTTTTTCCGGCATCTTCAACATTTATCGTCATATTTCAGCCAACTTACACAAAACCTAAATAAATTATACACTTAAATCTTCCTTATGAATCACTCTGTCTATTGGTGGAAACCGAATGAAAATCCGTTCGGTAGTTTTTGAGTTTATCGCGATCAGACAGACAGACGCGGTAGTGATAATATGTAGTGATGTTGTGATTATACATTATATTATAGATATATCTTACCGCGCTGTTAATATAATAGTGTATTAACTCAAACTACTAAACTATAGGTTATAGTTTAGGTTACAATTTCCTACTTGCGATATATATTTAAAATTAATAATTTCATATTTTTGAATAAGGATTATTTTGGCCAGAACTAGCTCACATAAAGCATGTCTCATTTAGAGTTAAGTAGATATCTTCTATTTTTTTTTACAAATTGTAACTACGGTTTTATTGACGTGTAGAGAATCAAATTTCACGTTCAATAATGGTATAATCTGAAATTTCACATATTTTTAATTATAACACTATTGTAATAGCAGTGCGATTATCATACATAATAAGTACGAAAGTGATTTAGGAAGATTATTTTTATACGATGCGGTGCATGGCCTTAGGTCAAATCCGCCACTGGTGCAATCCTAGGCTACGGTCGACTTTCACCAAGATACGAAAACCGTACATTATCTGATAAAGACTTACAGTGCCGGTGTTCTGATGACAATGGTGGCAAGTGGTGGTGGACGGTAGCTGAAGAGTCGTTGTGGTCACTGGTGCTGGTACTACGCGCGACTCTGAAACGAGCAATTAAGTGAGTACAGTGGCGCTGGCGTAGCGTTGCTCACTCTATTTTTAACCGACTTCAAAAAATAGAGGAGGTTCTGAATTCGTCTGTGTGTTTTTTTTTGTATTTATGTTCCGCGATTACCCCGCTATTTGTGAGCCGATTTTGACGATTCTTTTTTGGTGGAAGGTACCTCATTATTGGTCCCATTTAAATTTTAAGAAAATATTCCACCTCTAAGTGTGGCAAACTAGGTAATGAATCCGGTTTCGCGCACTTTCCGGTAACCGATTTCAATAAAACTTGGCAAATAGATGTAATTTCGCGAAGTTTTGAAGTCGGTTTATTTATTACTGAGATTACCACGATTACACAGTATAGTTCGTTCGGGCAGGCGCGGCTCGATTGTAATAATAATAATAATAATAACACACACACTCAACATAGGGAAACCCTGTGTCGCGGGTGCCATGCACACACACATAGACAACCATTACATCCAAACTCACGAGAGAAATAAATGTAGGCCATACAAATATTTCTCTCAGCCCGGGAATCGAACCTGGGACCTCTGCGTGGCATGCCGGGATGGCAATCGCTCGGCTACGGAGGCAGTTGTGTATTTATATTCGCCTGCCTTCGCCACATTTGTGTTGTTCATTGTTCAGAATATCGTTTTCTCGGTTACGAAATGACATTTTTCAGAAATAACGTTTGGTCGAAATTTCATAACCTCGAAAGTAATTTTGAGAGGAAAATGTTTTTTCTTTTAAACCTAACTTAATACCTACCCAACCGAACCTAATCGTGTCTTTGCGATAAACATTTTATTTTATTTTATTTTCACAACATATCCTAAAAGAACAACTGTTTCGTTATAATTCGGTTTTCGATGCAATGAAAATTCGAACAAACGTTGTTTCGGACAAGAAAATTTTCGACTTTGTGATAGTTTATCCTTTTTCTCAAATTAGTGGAATTTATTTTCTAATTTTAAGTAAAAACATAATAATTTTGACTAGTTAGGGCTGGCCGCCGCCCCCATTGCTGTGCCGCCTGGGGCCATGGCCCCCTCTGCACCCCTCATTACGCCACTGATGTAAGCCCTCTGCAAATTAAAAAACTTCGATTTCCATGGAACCAACCCGTTTTTTCCTCCCGGTACATCTCCTGGCGCAGCTCCGCGGCCCTGGTGACGGTGGGGGGTGGACTGGAGCCCCACGAGGACGTCTCCACTCTCTCCTCGCGCTTTAAAGTTGAGTAGCCGCTAGATGGCGCTTTTATTGGTGTGCTGCGAAATGCAAGAACGCAAGATGAGATTTCTTATTTGTTAAGAAAAGTTTTCTTTTATACCGTCAAGTGACGGGACAAACATGACGTGCGCCTGGTAAAGTACACGTCTGTCCATAACAGGTTCCACTGCGCTTGTCACCTTGAGACAGTCTCATGTCCCTGTAATTTCACCAGCCCCTTATCCTTCAAAATCAGAACGCAGTAATGCTCATATTACTGCTTGGCGGCAGAAAGAGGTAAAGTGGCAGTATATCCCTAGATGAACTCTTTTTTTTTTTATACATGACAGGCAAATGACTCCACTCCACCTGATGTTAAGTGGAAAGTGATATCCAAACGCGAAGGAACCTAGTGCAGCGATGAAACCCTCACTGCACTAGCCACCTCCACCCTGCCTGCCTACAATATGCCTCTTCACGCCTCGTTTGAAGGACCCCATATCATAAGGAGCTCCACTGCAAAAGCTCTATTGTTAGGAGTCTATACAACCTCAAATGGCTTTGGTTGATTCTGCATAACATTGAAATTATTGAATTTCAATTCACTTTTGAAAAAATACATTGTAAAATTGAGGATTTACACTATCTACTATACGGCGTGACAACACGATTCCTTAAAATTTTCACGGTAAAAAAAAACACAAATTTACCTCGAAATTTTACAAAAAAAAAACACACAGCTAAATAATCGAACACGCATAGTATACGATATATATTTTGTGTTAATGTCGTTTGTAAAAAAATTACCTAATTCTGAAATTAAGTCCCTGCCTCTCGACTCGTGCAATAGAACCGATTTAGTACGGGAAAAAATTTGAATTAGAACTAAATAAGATATTAAAAAACCGATAAGAGGGGGTTGTAGATCTGTTTACGTTGATCCCAGATGTCGATTACGTTAGTAATGATAAAGAGGGCAGAACTATATTTCTTTCTCTCCTTTCAAGAAATGTTGTCTAAAGAGTTCTGAAGTCTTTTTAACGGACTTTAAAATGGAAGATATAACAGGTGCAAAGTCCACTGTTCACCAAAGCGGAGAAGAAAATATAGATTCAATAAATATACATATAAATTGAATGGGACCTGTAAAGGGCCCGAAACGTTAGTTTCTTTGAAGTAATAAAAAATATAGTTTCGTTTCGAGACATAGTTTCAAGTTTACGTACCCTCTCTTGTAGTCAAATGAAGAGCTTTCAGCTGTATCTGAAGTGTAGCCACCTGTAATGAGAAAATAGTTACTAATATACCAAGTGTTTTACTTTTATTTCGTTGGTTGAAAGCATCGAGTATGTAACCCGAAATAGAGAAGAAATAAGGGCCATCCATCCCAGACAGCTCATCAGGCAAATGTACCATGTATCACTTTTAAATATCAACTCTCGTTTGCGCTGAAATCACAAATTAGAAAGCTGAAATAGTACAGCACCAACAACTGACCTGTGTGTACGTCTCCGTATATTCCACAAATATTCTGTGTTTATTGTAATAAAGATAATATAAAAACATCTAATTAGAAAACAAACGGAATCACATTTCATCGGTAATTAAATATTATAGATGTAATTTTGCAATTTTCGTCCATTATAGCAAAGCTCAAGTTAAACTGGTCGATTTGAAGTGAAACAATTGAAGACACCCGTCAATTGTTTCGAATTCGGGCTGGCCAATCGGAGCGCAGTTGTCACAGTAATGATTTGGCAGAATAGTTTTCAAACAAATCAAATGAAGTTTCGTCTCTTTTTCTGGTTATACACTCGATGGTTGAAAGACAGCCCTGTACAAGAAGATAAATATGGTAACTCTATACAAATGTAGCGACGCGGCTTGTATGTGTGTTCACTCGCCGCGCGCCGTGTACGGACGAGTCGCGCGAATAAAGTGCACTCTACATTCTCGTCGAGAAATCCCGATCTCGGTCTCGCCGAGACAGGGCGAGACCGAGAGTGGCTCTCCACATTCTCGCCCGCACAGTTGTCCGTTCGGTAGTGATACAAAATGGACGTGTTAGATACGTCTGTTGCTGCAGCATTATGTGCTATAGCATATCACTTTTTTTTGTTAATTCGAGAAAAAAAAACTTATTAAGAGACGTTGGAATAGACGCAGAAGGTGGATGACATCAATATATCGCAACAGAACACAGCGGTTGCTGCCGGCGGACTGCCGTGACGGGAATGTGCAGGAAAGGGTCTCGCGCAAACACAAAATTACACGAGAGCCCTTTGATTCGGGGTCGAAATAGCGACACGAAGTGGAGACCACACGAACTTGGCGAGACTTAAAGAATATGGTCACTACACTCTCGTATTTGGCTGTTCTCGCGAAGTTTTGGCAAGAATGTGGAGCGGGCTTAATGTATACGGCGAAAGAACTTCTGAACGCTGGAATAATGTAATTCTTTAACAACCACTAATATAAAAAAGTAAACTTAAAAATTACTTTGTAAACTTTGTATTGTTTGTTATTGTTTCTAAATGTATTTATCCAATTTCTTTAGAATCCTTTTGGTTAATGATAGATCAATTATTTCATGCACTTAAGTATTAGCAAAACTTTTCTGTTATCAAATTGAACATATGTATTGTATACATCCAATTCGCATTACTACGAACCTTAGTGGTTTGAAAATGCGACAGAAACATTGTTGTTTATTACGTTTTAAAAGATAACAAATTTAAAAAAAATTGCACAATCTGGCGATGATTCAAAATCAAATATTATCCATACGGTAACATAGCTCGACGGATTATATGGGCTCATCCTCCGATGAAAGTGCACAAAAATTTCAAGTATGAAGTTTTTTTGTATTGTTTCAGAATTTTGCTAATTAACTACAGTATTGTCAACTCTGTTAATGTAACTACACTACACCGCCTCCGTGGCCGAACGGTTACCATGCCGGACTGCCACGCAAAGGTCCCAGGTTCGATTCCCGGGCCGGGAGAAATGTTTGTATAGCCAACATTTATTTCTCTCGTGAGTTTGGGTGTAATTTGTGGTTGTCATGTGTGTGTCCACGGCACCCGCGACACAAGGTTTCCCTAGTGCGGGGCTATGTTGAGTGTGTGCGTAAAAAAAAAAAAAACTACACTACAACAAGAATTACAGGTTGTTAGTATTGTGTTCATTTCAAATACTTTAAGCTATTATTGAAGCCTTGAGCTACTTTCTTTTTTGTTTACTTTTTACTTGTTATAGTTTTGCTCGTCGAATATATAACCAGAAATAGAGACGAAATAAGGGCCACCAAAGACTTTTAAATATTCTTCTGTCTTCACGTACCTCTATTATCTCATATCCAGTAGCAAAAACTGATCCAGTACTCACTCTTATAAAGCTGCCTTTCTTGGTCTTTCTGCAAATCATCTAGCAGTGAGTCCAGTTCTTCCACATTCTGCGACAGCTCCTTTGTCGCCTTTGATGACTTGATTTTCGAGTAGCCTGCAGGGTAATTAGAGGTCTTGGGTACAGTTATTACCACCAGTGGGAATATTTTAGCGATTTATCTCCATGATATGACGCTAAAGGCATTAATTATTACAAGATCGAACACTTAGAAAACATTCCTTTGATTCGGCTGTATTCGAACTCGTCTTCTAGCAAACCGTGCCAGACGCTATGCTACTGAGCCACAGAACGAACCAGCGAATCTTACGAATTTTTCTATGTGCTTGTTTTGGACTTTTTTGCCTAATTTTTTTTTTTTGATAATTTAACAATTGTTAATGGATTTTTTTCATATGAAATCCCGATACAATACCATATCTATAGGAGTTCAAAGACTCCGTTCATAATCATTTAAACAACATTCACCACTCGTCTTTATCTAAACCTACTAGAGGTATTCTGAACCGCACCCGTATAAACGTACAGCAAGATGAAGATCATATTGAACATTTTATTGAAACATTAGTTCGATTGAGGTAACAAATTGTACGAAAACACATTTCATGAAATTTCACCATCTTCTGCTGACCCGATTGTTTCTTCCGATAATGATTCTTACAAGAAACTGAGTTGAGCAGCATAATTCGTTTTTATGATACCACATGACACGAACAAGTCTTACGTCTGGTGGCAAGGACTTGTCAACTTATGTCCCAGGGTGATGGGCGCAGTGGCAGTGCCCCTCAGATCTTTGTGATTTAAAGCACTGAGTGGTACTGCAACTGTTATGGACAGACGTGTCTCTTATTTCAAGGTGTGCGACTTGTTCGTCCCGTCACTTGATCTCACAAAAAAGGAGGTACGCTTAACAATGCGTAACAAACACCATCAAAATTTCTCAAACAACCCTTTTTTGAAGTCTATTAAAAAAATGCTGTATACATAAGGTCAATGGCTGTATTTACCTGGCGTTGAACTACTGGTAGTCTCATAATTGTAAGTCCTGGTGCCAGTAGTACCAAAAGAGGGCAGCTCCCTCTCTTCCCGCTCATAGTAGTACGAGTTGCTCTCGGAGTTTTTCGGTGTTGATTTTTTAGGAATGGTGTACTCCTGATGGATTTAACAAAGAGTTAGCATATCACTTCTTAGAAAGTAAGGCCGTTTTTTGATTTGTCGGCGCAGTAGCGGTATGGCCTCGGCACGCTCGGTATACGCAGTACCGAAAAGTTTACCGAGCGCCAATGTGCGCTTCCTGATTGGCGCGGTTTGAACAGGAGTGCGATGGGATCGTTTCGGTTTACGATATACCGCGTTAACAATTAACAATTGCAAGGCCACTCAGAGCTTTAACCCTTAACACGTTCGTCGCTGTAGTGGGTCAAAATGACCGCCATCTCATCTACCTAATGGGGCCGTAGGGGGGTTAAAATGACCGGAACGACGCACCTAACTTTGCGATGCTCATTCACGCTGCAGGTGGCAAACGCTACGTATTTAGCCACATAACATAACCGGTGTGGCTTTGACGAACTGCTGTTGCCAGTTGGTTTTTAGGATTTTTGATGGCATACGTACTTTCTAAACTAAGAGGAAAAAAGTATATATTATATTATAAAAGTATATATATTCCAATAAAAAAATACTTTAATTTCAAATTGGACTTAAAGGCTACAAAGTAAGCAAAAAAATAGTTAATGTGAAACATTGACTTACAAATAAATGGATGACGGGTCTAATACAAAAACCACGAAAAAAATGTCCCAAGTCAACCTATTTAAACGTAGTGACATGTCAAGGAATATGAAAAAGCTAAAACGTTGAATTTAAATTGTAATGTCATCGCAATACTGTCTAATTTTGCTTGCTTCGCTGTCAGTCAACCAAACGAAGACTAGAGCGTGAATGACGCTCTGTATACGATTTTAACGCCCTATAAGTTCGGACACTTTTTAGCGCGGACCCGACGTCCATATAATTGTAAGTCAATGATGTGAAATATCAATCTTAAATAAAAGACACGTCTGTTTTAGGTAAACATCGATCGAACATTACGTGTGCATACCCAGCCCCGCATTGCGACTGACGCGGCCTAAACGTAATAATTATAGTGTTTAGGCCACGGCGGGTTGAAATGCCAGGCACTAAATATAATCCCAAACTATAACCAAATAATGAAATATCGCGAAAAAATTTATTTACGTACACAAATGAGCCCAAAAACAGTCATGTAAGCCATTGTCATTATATTGAACATTTTTGAAAATTCTAGTCGGCGACGAGCGTGTTAACAGAATAAGAGTTGATTATTTGCCACCTCATTAAACTTAAGTAATCGATTAACTTGAAAAATGTCACTACATTTTCAAGTTAAAACGTATAGTGGTAAAATATTTACCACCAAAACAAAACTTGATGTTACCCTTTTTAGAAAACTTAGTTATGGAAAATGCATCTACGCCTTTACTCTCCTCAATTACCAAGCAACTACTGCAAGTTAACGGGCATTGAGACTTGCGTTTGTTTATGGGTTAACGTTAAGATCTGTGGGGCACTGCCACTGCGCCCGTCACCCTGAGACATAAGTTGACAAGTCTCATGTGCCTGTAATTTCTTACTTCTGAGCATTGACTTACAAATAAATGGACGACAGGTCTAATACAAAAACCACGAAAAAATATTTAAACGTAGTGACATGTAAAGGAATATGAAAAAACTAAAACGTTGAATTTAAATTGTAATGTCATCGCAGTACTGTCTAATTTTGTTTGCTTCGCTGTCAGTCGAACAAACGAAGACTAAAGCGTGAATGACGCTCTGTATACAATTTTAACGCTCTATAAGTTCGGACACTTTTTAGCGCGGACCCGACGTCCATATAATTGTAAGTCAATGCTTCTGAGGTACATTATTCTTTTAGTAGCATTAGAACTCCTTGTGAAAGAGTTCGTCCAAGCAGTAATGTGAGCATTACTGCGTTCCGGTTTGAAAGGGTGCTGGTGAAATTACAGGCACATGGGACTTGTCAACTTATGTCTCAGGGTGACGGGCGCAGTGGTAGTAAGATCTAAGATCTTTGCTATTTAAAGCTCTGAGTGGCACTGCAATTGTTAGGGACAGGCGTGTCGCTTACCACCAGGCGCACGACTTCTTCGTCCCGTCATTTGGTATTAGAAAAGAAATCTAATCAATTGTGCATTAAAAGTACCTGAAACTAAAAACGCGCTAACTGAACCCATTGCCGAGTTCCCGAGAAATAAAACTACTTATATTTGGTGCGGATGTGCTGTCACCTCACCTCAACAGTATGCAGGTCCTTCCGATCGTACTTTCCAGTGGGATGTTTCTCCTCTTTGTACTCATAGTGGTACTCCCTGGTCCCAGGTCCTGCTCGTGAGAGGGAATCCAGTTTGCTGCCTCGCGGTATTAACTCGGACTTTAGCATGTCTGGAAGGAAACGAAAAACGTTAGACACACGTTGATAGGCTATATAAATCTGTAATATATTTCTCATAGATGGCGCTACGACTAAAGAGTCGTTGAAAGACCAAGTACAAAGACACGACGCAAGCACATTGAAAAATTCGTGAGGTCCGATGGTTCGTTCCGTGGCTTAGTTGGTATAGCGTCTGGCACGGTATGCAAGAAGACGTCGGTTCGAATCCGACCGGATCGAAGGTATTTTTTCTGAGTGTTCGATCTTTGTATTAATAATTATAACAAACTAGTGGAGTAATTTCACAAAAAATAATTGAATATCAATTCAATAAAAATTTAATTAAGCTATATAAAATTATCAATATTAAACTACATATAAATAATTGAATATCATGGTGGTCAAACATTCTGACATTCAATAAAAATTTAATTACAGTTAATAGCGACATTTCTAGCCGGGGCTGGTAGCTGTAAAGGTAAATGGATGACGAAATA